AGACTAGTCAGCCCCAGATCTCCAGCAATTGTTGCTGCGTATAGATTATCGATGTGATTGGTTGTGATGGAGTATATCTGAGATAATACAAGGTTTTTGTTCCTGTTAACTCCTGCACATATTCCTGTTATAACACGCCCCATGGCTACGTCACCAAACGGTGTGTGGACCACTCCTTGCTCTTGCTGACCCAGGAAGCGATGATTAACCATATTGGTCAGAACTGCCTTCTCTTGTGGAGTAAGAATTCCATCGGGTAGTGAATCTTTTAAATAAAAAAAATACATATCACAATTTAAATTCTAACGATAGCATCACTGGTAACGGGTTTGTATTTTTAGATTTTGAGGGACCAGCCTGTCATCATTGAGGGAACGGAGGTAATTAAAGACAAGATGACAGGCCGTCTTGCCAGAAAATATGTCAACACAAGAAGCAATTTTCGAGCTCGAAAGTGAAAAAGGGTTCACAGAAAAGAATCTGAGAATGAGTCTGAGAATAGTGCTCCGTTTAAAATCCTCTTGCAGTTTATATCGACCAAATATGCGAATATTTATGATACACAGGTCAACCGTAAGACCATCAAGATCGCAAAATGCAGAGAACTGGRACATAGCCTTTTTGAGAGGGGAAAAAAGAAGAAGAAGAAGTAGAAAGACCCTTTATAGTCACACGTTAATCAAAACRAATCTGTTCTCACCTGATTGTTTTCCTAATAAGGTTGTCCATTTATTGTCATTGTAGCTAAGTTTTCGAATATAGTTAGCAATGACTTTAAGCGGTTTATTTTTAGCTAGCTGATGTCTCTCGATTTTTTCAATCAATCCAATGAAGTGATCCAGTGTGTAGATATCGATGTTCTTTGCCACGCTACGTCGGAATCTTAAATAAATTGAAACCAATGAATCAAATATGAAGCATGCGTACCAACGAATKTAGTAAAATAAATAAAATAGATTCCAATCTCTCTTTGAGTTTTTAAGATCAAATGACCAAACAGCGCACTTAGTATAACTTACCTTGTGTGGGTTTTCAGGTTTTCTCCTTTGCCACCTTAGCGTCAATAAAAAAAATACATACATTACAATTATCTACAATGACAGAAAACTTAAAATTGAAGTACAGTAGTATCATTCGTTGACGCCATCTATTATTACAAGCAAGTCTCAGTAATCGTTTTTGACATCATCGCCGTGCGTTTGTGGTGCATATAGTCGAGAGGCAAAAAGTGGTTTAACGTTAAATGAAATAGATGTACATAGACATTTTCAAGCAGCGCGCTCGTCACTCTATTTAATTGTCCTTCTGTGTCGCTGAAGGGAGCGTACTGTTCAATATCATTTGTATGTCATGCTCAGTTATAAATAAAAACGGTCTCAAAGCTGCTAAAGGTGAAATTCAAGGAAAACGCATGAAATTAAATGCACCTTCTTCCAAAGACTCAAAGACTGAAAAAATATAGTGGAGTCTAGGGCTAGGTTCTTACCGTTAACTAAGACAATAACCAAATACAAAAGTACTGCTGCACTCTTCATGTTSGTGAACTAAAAAAAAATAAAAGAATAACTTTATTGGGAATCATAAAGTCACCTTTGTCACTGTATTAATAATTCATGTTCCCTAAAATGCTGATAAATACTCCCGCATTTCATTGATATTCTACTTTAATAGTGTTGCTCGTCCTTATCCCCTCCACACACAAACTCAAGTTTGTCTAACAACGTGGTTTAAGTAATTCCGAGCAAGCTTTTAAGCAGATTTTAACTTTTAAACWTAATAACTAACTTAACTAGACCATCATGGATCGCTTACGTGGGCTTCCTGTAGCTGCGACAATGGTCAGCTGTCGCCATTGAGCTATAGGCATTTCATTTTCACGATACATTCTTTGTTTGAAATAAGTCAAGACAAAATTAAGTTAATTAATATAAGTTATTTCAGTACTGCATCATAATTTTTTTACCGAACTGAACTCTAAGTAACTTCTTTAAGTATCCGTTCTTTCTTAGTTTTCCAAAATATCTAGCCCGACATTACGCTCTAAGAGCGTCTAGATTATTCAAAATATGCAAACTTCGTGAGATTGAAATAAATAGCCGACTTTAGATATTTTGGTTCAGTGACCATGCACAAAAGAATTGCAGACGAGGCTCCGGGGAAATAAAGAATAAAACGATATTATACGCTCTTTGATTGGTCATTTTGAAGCGTGCACTTCAAAATAACTCTTTGCAATATTAAAAAAAATAAAATTATCAATGGATAATCTTGATTTATTCTTTATTTCCCCGGAGCCTCGTCTGCAATTCTTTTGTGCATGGTCACTGAACCAAAATATCTAAA